GACAACTATTTGTCTGAAATGGTATAGAATTTCCTGCCTAGGCAAGGGGTTGGACTAGAAGACCTCCAAGGTCCCTTCCAATTCTGTTATTATGTTAATAGTTTACTTTGATCAGTTAACAAAATGGAAAGTAAATGAACAAGAGAAATCAAAATCAAATCAATATTTGGTATGACCAACTACATTTTGAGTTGCATTTGCACAATTCAGAAGCTGTGTTTATGGTCCCCTGTGTTGTGTGAATCACCTAACAGTTCAGAAGGGTTTCCACATTGGGGACTTTTTCAAAGCTTGAATCTGGGGGCTTTGGCACTCAAAACAGATTTTTCAACCACTAGGTATGTTATATTCTGGGCATGGGCGCAAGGAACGGAGACAAGGCAGTGAACTTCAACTCTTTATTAACGATCAGGAACAGAGCAAAAACCCTGGGCAGCAGCAGCTCTTTTATAGGGCTGGCTGCTGTCCCATTAACCAATGACTTACGTTAAAACGTTTAAATTGTACCCAATGAGAGACGTTCCGCTAATAGCCAATCAGCTTGCTCCGTAAGGACCAATCCCAGCTCACTATTCACGGGCCAATCAAAAGTGCAGGATTACAAGCCTGCTTTTCTAGCAAGGTTATCAAGCTTTATTAAATATGTTTATGTTAGTTCATAACACCCCTCCCCCCTAGGTTCCGTTTGAGGGGTGTGGTGATATAATCGCGTAGATATGCAGGTCGTTTCACCTGCCTGTTTGATTTTCGCTGTTCCACCGGTTTCTGTCTGCAGTCTGATTCCGGTGGAGCGCTTCTACGGTTTTCTGGTACGGTTGGTTCCGTTTCGGTGCGGGAGGACTCGGCGCGGCTGCCATTGTTGTTATCCCAGTCTCCTAGGGTTACTTCCGGGTTCCGTGGGCTTGCCTCCCTCGTGGTATTTCCCCGCGGCGAGGCTACCCCGCTTCCTGATTCTTCTTCAGTTGCCACGCTTCTTTGGGTTGGTTGCTGGGTTTCCCTGATTACATCATCATCTATTTCGTTTT